ATCACAGTCTCGTGGAAGCACACAAATTTGAATCCTAGCATCAGGTACAGGCAAACGGCCAGTACGAGCTGGACGTTGAGAAGAGGCTGGTCCGACACTTCCGGTCCGGAGAAGTCGCTGACCTTCGAGATCTAGATCTGGCCAGCTCCAAATGGACCTTGCTGAAAAACTACTCCACGCAGGACCTTTGAGCTTGCTTGTCGCCTTGCCAGGACATGTGTTCATGGCCACATGATTCATGTCTAGAGTCCAGACCCACACACGTCTCAGGATGCAGAGCTCGGCGTGGTGGTGAATGGCCAGACGGCCCGAAGTCTGATTTGCCATGCTCTGTTCTCAGAGAAACAGCGCAGGCACATGATGCCCGAGGATAAGTAGGCCTCTGGCTGCTTCTTGGACCGATTGGCTTCGAAACAAGCTGCAGATGCAGCCCAGGAGTTTGTTTAGTTTTCGATATTCTCTAAGACACTGTAAGCTGCTACTAATACTACATAGAAGGTCCGAGAAGACCAGCGGCAGGGTATCAAGACGACGGAAAGGTTTGTAGAAGTCTGTTTGTGCTTAGAAATAAATGCTTCTGTCCTATGTACCTCCTTGCCTGGTCCGAGCCTTCTCTTTCCGGGACTTAGTCCAATCTGCGACAGAGCAAGGATTGGTACCACATTTTGCAGACCTCAGGAGAAGAAACAGTCTGTGCTTGCAGCTATCGCCTGCAGGAGAACACCACGAGTGTTGGAGCAGCATGTCGTTGCCTTGATTTGCAGAATTGTTTTGGCCCAAGATGTATGTGGCCAGCCGGCCCACGGAGATCTCAGCAATCTCCATATGAAATCACGTGAAAATCTATCTCAACACGTGATAGCAGATGTCAGTCTTTTCCAAGGAACGTCCACTAAGTCCCGAGAGCAGTCACAATTCTTGCTAGATTTGCTGTGTTCTTGTGCCATTGTACACCAGTAGACCCGACCCTGGCGGTGTCCAATTGACTCGGCTAGCAAAAGCTAGGGCAGCTAGGGCTTGAGTGTTTCAGATGAACTAAAGCCCTGTCCTGCCAACCCGGGTTGCCTCCACTGACCAGAGCTCCCAGTCTTCCAGCCATGGCACAATCCAAGAAGTTGGTCCGGCTTCAGGCGCTCCTCGAGACAACGAGCCATGCCACAGTGATGAAGAAGCTGAAAGAGATGGTGCCGAAGCCAAGAACTCAATTGATTGAAGTGTTGGCCTGGGAGCATTTGTCAAACATAATTCATTTTTTCATCTCATAGCAAGCCTGCTCTGCAGAGGCTTTCCGTCGAGGTGCAGGGCCGACTTCTCGAGATGATGGACGAGAACCTCTTCCAGGACACCCAGCCGAGAGGCCCGAATGAGACCGCTCTGGTGGCTTGGACGTCACATATGAATGCTGGTCGTGCAATCAGTGCTTTTTACGTTTAGCAGGAGTAGTGTCTGTGCTTGCTCGAACCAGGCACTGCCAGCGGCACCGGCGGACGAGGAGGTGAAGGTGGCCCGATGGAAGAGCTTGCCGGACCGACTGGTCCACGTGATTCTGGGCCAGATCATGGAGGGCAGGGAGGAGACCCTGCAGAGACTCCCTCCAAGCGAGAAGGTCCGAGTGCTGCTGTTTGGGATCGATGCGAGCGACCAAGAGCAGCTTCCCTACATGGAGACCACCGAGGGCCGTAACTTCCCTGCACTTGGTTTTGCTTGCACGACCCGCCTTGAATTACGTTACATAGCATCTTTCCCAACTCAACCCAGGAAAGCGCACTCTGTCGCGGGTGATAGAGTGCGCAAGGGCCCGACATGCTGCTTTCGGGCAGCCCTTGTCCGACTTCGTGGCACCGCAGCTGGGGATCCTCGACTGGGACCGAGAGGCAGGATTGAGAATTAAGTTTCTCTATGCACACCTCTTTAGCCGGCATTGTTTTGGCTCTGTGGTCAGGTTTTTCTTTTGCCTTTGATGCTTAGACTTCAAGTCTCTGGACCCATGCAGGTGGGGTGGTTCATTCTCGAAGGGTCCGACTCTGAGTCTGGGGACCTCGTCGCCAGACACAGGAGGCTGCCGCTGACGATCGAGCTGGGTCTCCGGGGCGATTGGCACTTGGTGAAGAACTACTCCACCCTCGATGCCTGTGTCTGCAGGTGGATGCAAGGGTCCGAGTCCAGAACAAGAGCAAGGAAGGTTTTTTGTGTTTTCCATGTGCTGCCCCAGGTGTTGGGTGGTCCACTGTCCAAATCTTGTGCTTTGGGTGTGTCTGGAAGAAGTTACTGCTGTCCTGCCCAGGATCGGTCCGAGGAGCCCGCCGAGAAGATCTCCTTGAAAGCAATCTGCTCAAAGGAAAACAGGAAGCAGCAACACTGCAATCTGTCGTAGTGATCTATTCTACGATTCAGGAAGGTTTGATTTATGCATGTGCTCCTGTTGTTGTTTTTGTTGTTGAGGCAAATGGCAGACAGCCTGGCGCAGATACAGATGCAGCAGGGACAGGTCCGAGACTTCGGGCTGGTGCACCGTAAGAAGAGGCAGGCGGCCATAGAAGACTTACGGGGCCCGAATGACAATGACAATGAGGACGCACTGTTGTTCTGCGACCTGATTGACGGCGAGCTGAGACTCAAACCTACCTTGCTTGGTGCCATGGCTTTCAAGGGCTCGAGTGGGGTGGAAGCCGACAAGAAGAAGAAAAAGAAGAAGAAGACAAAGAGGGCCGAGTCGGATGACTGCCACTCTTCAGCTGCTTGACTGGAAAATCTTATCATAGCCTGTCTAGGAATCGTAGATGCTTTCTTTGGTGGTCTAGCGCTCTAGGGTCCGATCAGGGAAGAAACCTATGCTTGCACAAGACTCTAAGTGCAGCCTTTGGCCCGTTTGATTGAAGACTGCCTGCATGTCCTACATTCGAAACAGGACAGCGGCGGTGCGATGTTTGCATCCGGGAATGCAGCATCAGCATCACGGCCGAGTGCAGACGACATAGAGGAATCTAGATTGCAGCATCAGGTTCTCCACATCTCTTTGTCTCTGTCACTCCGTGTCCCGCTCTCTGTGTCTGTGTCTGTTTGTCTCCGATTGATTGTCTTCCTAATTTATTTGTTTCATTATTTTGTTTGAATAGATTTCTTTGCTTCTTTCTATCTCTCTCTGTCTCTCTCTCTCTCTCTCTCTCTCTCTCCCTCTCTGTTTGTTTTCTCTCTCCTTGCCACTTTGTTGGCTGGGCCAGAGTGCTCCATTCACGGATCCCAGGCACAACTCGAGACAATGCTCGAGGAGCTGACATCTCGGATGTTCTTCCAGATCTTGTCCCAGACAAAAAATGCATATGACAGGAGTTCGAAGATGAAGAAGAACCAAAAAAGAAGAAGGCACAGCAGGCCTGGTTCTGCTCCTGCCACAGCCACTCACATAATGCCTTTCTCTCTCCTTGCCAGCATGTTGGCTGTGCCAGAGTGCTGCATTCACTGATCCCAGGACGAGATCGATGAATTGTTCGAGGAGTTGCTGTTTGCGGTATTCTTTTCAGATCTTGTCCCAGAGAAAAGATACATATGACAGGATTTCGAAAAAGAAGCAGTAGAACATGAAAAGAGGCCACGGCAGGCCTGGTTCTATTCTTGCCACAGCCACCCACACATTGCTAAAGAACGGGGGGGGGGCTGGGAATTTTAGTGCCAATTGGGCCTCGTCAAGCTCCTCTAGCTTAGTGTGAGTTGCAAGCCCGATGGCTGCACTCCCGCAACGGTTGCGCAAGCAAAGTGAGTTGTCCGAAACAAGCGGATGGACAGTGCACGACATGTTTGTGGGTTCAGGCTTGCTTTTTAGAACATTTTGCCATGCAGTTTGGCGAGCAGCTGCTCAAATCTGCCTGCAAGATCTTCATCTATCGGCACTGGGCTTTTCAGTGTTCACTCCACATTGGGCTGCTATCTGGCTTAGTCGGTACCAGCTACCATGTGCATTAAATGCTTGGCACATCCATTGTAATCATTTCTAAGAAATTCAAAGGGGCAATGCCGAGTGCCAATGGGCATGCAGCTGGTCCAAGCAACGAAGAGCTGCCTGAGGATCAGAACCCACATGTGCTGCTTCAAGCTTCCACTGTCCTGAGTGCTGATCGTCTTTTGACTGGTCGTGGCTCCTGTCACCTGCTTGGCATCTTCCGAGTGCTGGTGCATCCCGAGCAATCCTGAGGCACTTCATGCTTCCTCCGCCGCCAAGGCTGATGCCCCTTCGGAAACCGAAGCGTCGGGCTAGCCACATGCTGCGGGGGACACAGGGTGAGGCGATTTGGTTGATGTGCAATGTCACCCGCACCTGAATCCGGACCCGGCTGCTTTAGGCTTCGCTCTGGGTGCCAAGCTTCGGCGAACCTCGGATCGTGACACAGCACTACTTATGGTCAGGACGGACCGAATCGACTCCCTGGCCCTAGCGACCACGGTTGCTGCTTTGTCATCGGCCGTCTCTGGTTTGGAGCATGCTCTAGCTGCATCGCAGGCAGAGGAGTTGTGCATGAACTCGGCACAGGCACGCGCCATTACCGGCTTGCGGGATGTAATCCAGGACATGAGGGACGACTTCGAAGGCATTCGCCGTTCCTCTGCCAGCACCGCCGGTCCGATTCCAAGGACTCCCGAGGCATCTGGTCAAGATCCGCCTTTTCCATTTCGTGGTCGCTTGCTTGCACAGCCGAGGCAACGAGTGACCGGACATGCCGGACAAAGTTTTGTTTTTTTTGTCCGAGCGCAGGTGCTAGAGCATGGGGACAACATCCTGAGATTTACCTGAATGGTTTCAAATTACTTGAATGGTTTTCTCCAGGCTGTCGCAGCAACAGGGAACTGGGTCGCAGATCCCAAAGGTTCATTGAAAGAAACGGCTGAGGGAGCAAGTGTGCTTGCTTCAGGATTGGCAGTCACTTGTTGATGGTTTCCCTCTTGACCAGACTTGTTTGTGCATGCACAGCAAGCAAGCTGCAGAAGTGTGGGACTGCAGTCATGCATGTGCTATGGGTGTGTGTGACACATTGAACTGCAGTCTGATGTGTTGTCTGCAAATTCTCATTGGGCACAAACGGCCAAGGGGGGGAAATTCCTGCATTTTTTGGATGTGTCGGCCAGGCTGCAGGTGTGGAGGAAGGGAAGAAGCATCAGGAAACACAGCCAAAGGAGGTGACATGTCACTCTGGTTCTTGAAAGTCCAGTGCAGGACATGCTTGCTTTCGTGGTCTCTGAACTCTGCTGCTGTCCGACAGGATGCAGATATGCTCAATCGGGACAAGAAGAATGAGGGGCCCGAGGACCGGCAGCATGAAGAGGCTCGATAGCTCTGGTTCAAGAGGAGTCCGACTCCAGCACAGCAAGTGCTTGTTTTGCCAGGCTGCAGATGTGAAGAAGGAGGATAAGAAACACCAGGGGCCCGAGCTGCTGCAGGTGCAGTGGCTATTAGCTTGGTCCATGTGACAGCTAGTAGCTACCTGCAGGTAGCAACTAGTAGCAGTTGCAGTGTCATGTGGCACAGAATGGCTCATTGAGCACCATCAGCCAAGCTGAGGAGGTGGAGGACAAGGAGAAGAAGCATGACGGGAACCAGCAGCAGGAGATGCCATGGCTCTGTAATTCACTGCAGTGAACTCCAGGGCAGGACATGCTTGCTTTGGTGGTCTCTGAACTCTGCTGCTGTCCGACAGGATGCAGACATCCTCGGTCAGGACAAGAAGAATGAGGAGCCCGAGGACCGGCAGCGTGCAGAGGCTCAATAGCTCTGATTCAACAGGCATACGAGCTGCAGTAGCTGGAGCCACAGAGGGTGTCGCCGGCTTTTTTGCCGGCATAAAGCATGGCGTGGATGCACTTGAGGGCCGGAGATCTGCTTGAAGAAGAAGAAGAGCTGTCGGAACCTGGTCCGAAGGAACTCCGGCACTAGGCACACTTTCAATAGCCACATGGGCTTTTGCAGGGCCCATGGATGGAAACTGAATGCCAGTGCCACAAAACCGGATAACAGACAAGCCAACAAGCCCGATAGCGTTTCCATCCTCCCACAGCCATGGGTTTCCTGTCGGGGAGGATGCAGCCAGCAAGAGGCTGAAAGCAGAGCCCGAGACGCTACATGAAGAGGAGGAGGAGGTGTCTTTGGAGGAGGAGGAGGTGCCTTTGCAGTTTAAGTTTCAGATGCATGGTGTTCTCATTGGAGTGAGCAGACAAGCCTTCTTGCCAGATCTGCATTGTGTTTGCCATCTGAGGACACAGAGAGAGAGAGAGAGAGAGAGAGAGAGAGAGAGAGAGAGAGAGACAAGAAGCAGCAGAGCAAACAGCCATTACAGGATCCAGTGCAAGTGAAGACAGAGGCTGAGACATGAGATGACAGTCTGAATGTCGTGTTTGCATGTACACCTGAGATTACTTACAATTCCTTACACATTCTGGCATTTCCATGCAGGGCCTTAGCACCCTTTAATTGGAAACCAGCATGGAATGTCTTCATTTCTGTCCATTGCTGCTTGTCCAGGCTGTCCTAGAGGATTCCCAAAGCCAGGACCACCGAGATGGGTCAGAAAGCCTGCAGGACCAGCAAGGGCAGGGTTGCAAGTACTGGAGCAGGTGCTGCAGAGCTTGCTGATAATTTTGGGACACTTGACAGGCAGAGAAGATATCCTCCAGAGCAAAAAGGGCTATGTCCGAGAAAAAAATACCCTTAAGTTTAAGTTTAAAGTTTAAAGGCTCCGATATCTTCCTCCTGGGTATCACAGAATCACGAGCCCCTGTTAACTGACTCTGCAGTGCATCAGGACCATGCAGCAGATCAGAAAGAGTGTTCAGAAGCTTCGGATGCAGACGAAGAGGCGCCTTGTCAATGCCACCGCAAGGTGGCAACAGAATAGACCCGGGCAACATGTGCAACATGCAGCATGCAGCAGACAGGCGGGTTGTTGCATGTGAATGTGTCTGCTATACTTTTTTGCCTTGGAGCATAGTGACATGTATAAATGTAGACTAACAGAACACAGCACTCCTGAACGGAACAGCACAACCCCGTGCAGAAACATCACCTGGCCTCTCAGTTTCCATCCAATTGCACACCTACGTTGCAGGGTTCAGGAAGCTGGGGCAGGAACTCTAGCAGCAGTTGCATGCCCTTCTATGCTCCTGTTGTGCAAGTGTCATTGTCATGTGCATTGCAAGAAGTAAAAGTTTCAAGTTTAACATTTAAAGTTTAAAGTCGAGTCTAACTTTCAACTGAAGGTCCTGGATTCAAGCTTGCTGTTGTCGCCTGGGTTGACCTGGCGGGTTCCGTCTGCTAACCATGTGGAGTTTGGGGTCAGGGGTTCAATAATTTGGGGTTCGTTTAGGGTTAGGGTTTAGGGTTTGGAGACGGCAATGCTGGCAGTCATCAAGTCCGGTTTGAAAAGGGGTTTCGGGTTTAGGGTAACTTCATCCCCATCCGCATTCAACGGACCCCTAGTGCCCATGACGATGATGCAACACGATCTTGGAAGACCGCGGAAGCTACAATGGAAGGCTTTCATCGCAGGAGCCGCAACCCAGGCATCCACCCAGCTTGCATGTTGTCGCACGATCTGCCGAAAGTCCAGGAAGGCATGACGACGAGCATCTTCTAGCCGTGCATGGTGTTGCTCATGACATTATGCGGGCTGTGAGACTGAAGCATTCCAGCATGACAATGCTTGTTGTTTTCTTGTAGTTTCGCAAACCGCACAAAGAACTGGCGTCAGGGTTGTTGAC